CAGAATCACCGATCGGAACATGGCGTTTCATACGTCACGGCCGCTGAACAGCTCCTTATTGGATACCCGACCCAAGCCCGACGGGACCCGAGGGGACCTGACGGTACCCGACGGGCCGGGTCGGGTTCGGACAGATATTTAGAAATTATGCTCGGGTTCGGGTCGGGCTCGGTGACGTCTGCGCGATTTGAAATGTGCAATTTAAAACAGCTTATTATGCATGGTAGCCAATGGGCTGTTTCACATGTTGCAAAGGTTCGATTGTGTGATTAAAATACATTTTATAAAATAGGACATAAGCATGTTGCGCTCATCTGTTTGTTGACATTTCCAAATGCGCTGCAGTTGCGTAATAAAGGCGGACTTTCATAAACACAAACGTAAATGTGTCATAGTATGAAAAAATATAGACTTTAACTGTGTTGGCCTGAGTAATAACACTTGAATCAATATAAAAAACAGCCAACAGATTTAAATGAAATGAGAAATGACTATATAGCCTATGTAGGCTAATATTTTAATTCGGGATAATTAAAATGATGCAACATACTTAGAAAGACCATGCACATGCTGTAAAACACATTAATTCCTCACAGGATTGACGGTGTAAATTACAGGTGAATCACTAGGATTAAGTTTAGCCTGGCTTTTAGCCTGGTCTGGAGCAGGCTAGCTGCGGAGAATAAATCACCATGGTAACTTAGCCGGGATAAGTGTGAGCTGCTTTCATGCAACCGACTTGAGGCTAAATTTAGCCAGGATAACCTAAATCCGTAAACATATCCCGGCTTAATCCCTTATCCTAGTTTTGTGCAATACCCCCCTGCTGTCCTTGCACTTTTTATTATAGCCTATTACTTTCGCTTTCATTATCACTAATGTGTTTTATTATTTTTTTTTACGTAAGGGATAATCCACGACGAGGTGTGAACTATCCCGCTTATGCCATTGCCACTTACGAACAAATAAAAATATATGGGTATTGACTCATATTTTGGGGTGATTCTGTCTCAAAAGTACAACTTTTAGCTCGCACTACTTTGTGTGTGCCTGTAAACAAACGGCAAATGACCAGAGAAATATATGGGTCTGACTAATGCCTGGATCTGACTAATGCCTATGTCAACTAAAATGCATCTCTCACCTGCTGTCCTTGCACTTTTACTTGCATTATTATATTACTTTCGCTTTCATTATAATGAAACACTAATATGTTTATTTTTTTTACAACAGAGATGATCCTTGTCATGTCATACGAATTAATGGTCATGTTATACTGCACATAATTTGATAATAAAACACTGACTTTGACTTTCAGTTTTTCAATCCAATAGCGATAGGTAGGCTACACTTCCAAGATGATTCAGCAAATCTCAAGTTTAAACCTGTTCTTCATCTATATTTACATGTTTGCCTATGTGATGTAGGCTATTTAAATGTTTAAAATATGGAAATGCCACCTAGTGGCCATTTTAATGCATTGTAACGACGGGCTTGTTATGCAAGCGCTGATGTGCGCGTACTTCCTGATTGGGGGCTTCAGGGTAATATGATGTAAAATGGTGTGTCACGTAGGGCAGTGTCAGCCACTCCTTTATGACTTATTTTGTGGAAGAAATATGACGGTGATGGTTGCTAATTTCTGACCAATATCTACAGGAAACCCCCCCCCCCCTTATCTCTATAAGCAACAACACTCGCCTCCCAGACAGACGTATTAGATAGGGATAGTGGCTCTAGAGAAAACCTCGTAGGAGTATCCTAGATCCTAGCTGTAGAACAACACATGTGATACGAGGAGGAGACTGCGACCATACATCTGCCATTTCCAGCGAGCTCAACCATTTTGTGTCGCGGGTCCCGTATGTGTGACCCAGTAACACACAGCGGAGATCCCGTCCTGAGGGCGGAGTCTGCGTTCAAAACACCTCCATCCGTCCGTCTCCGCTTCCTGCCTGGTTTGCGCTTATATTCGCTACACTTCTCAGCGCTTCTTTCTGCGGACATTGTGTTGTTTTATATCATGTTGCTTTCTCTGATCCGTACGCCGCAAACCACCTCTTTCTGTCCGCTACATCGTTTCCTTAACGTCCCCAGCTGTCTCCCGGTGCCGCTGAACAACATGGACCACTGAAAGCCGTATAAATGCGACTGCAGTCCATCATTCCCTCTTGGTTTTGAAAGCGAAAAGGTAAGAATGCAAAAAACGTTAACAAAATAACCCAAACGAAACCATGCATGGTTGTTGTTGTGTGTCGCTGCAGCAACTGTTGAGGCTGGTGCTCACAGCAGCTGCAGCCCATTGTCCCGCCGAGCTGGACCAGACCCCTGCACCGTAGAGACTGGTCCCATAAACCTGTAATGATCATAAACCTGTAATGGTCATGAACCTGTAATGATCACCACTTTACATTTGGAAACAAAACTAAATTCTGCGCATAGTTCAACGTATGGAAAATGGCGACGCTGTTTACCAAACGTAAGGCTACAAGATAGCGCTGTACCCTTTATCAAACTATCCCTTAGTTCACCGTCTGAAGTCAATATAAAACACATTAAAACATTACCCCCCCCCCCCCCCCCCCCCCCATTTGGTGATTCAGTTCGCCTTGCATTGTCTGTATGAGGTATGTTTGCATACCTTCGTTTACTTTAACATGGAGTCTTACAGTAGCGTCGTCCAAGTACTATTGTTTCGGTTTTTTAGTTGTTGCTTGCTATAACTTTTCCTTTATTTCCACATTAAGTCTACGTGGTTTGGGTTGATTTTCTTTGTTTGGTTAACCTCTTCGTGGCGACGCCTCTTTCTCAGGGTTTTGCCGAAAATAACCAGAGAAAGCCAGTATAATAGAGTAGGCCTGTATCTCCACAGCTACAGGGCTATAATGTCATCCTGGTACCGAGTACCGACATCATGAATGTGGCTGCTGTGTGAATAATGCCACAACACGGCATGAATTGGACATTTCATTTCCGCCTGAAATAAATGTCATGTTTTAGTGTGAATAACACTTGTGCATTATCAGTTGGTAGCCCTTTATCACTATAAGGCCATAGCACAACATCTGATGAGGGCCTGGGTCAGGATTTGCTGCCAATAAAGTGAAGTAGACCAAAAATAGAGAGGTTTTCGTAGAGATAGGTTTAGGTGGAGTTTCCAAATAAAAACAATAAATCCAATGGAAACCAATGCAAAAATGACAATACAAACATGATGAGACACAGACAGCTGAATATATGGAGAACCCATTGTTCAATTTTGACATTTGACCCCTCTATTGAAAGGTCAGGGACAATAGAGTTGAATGACACCAAGCCCAACCATCGCAATTGCACCATACGACCACCAGATGGTGATAAAAAATCTGTGTTCTGATTGAAGGCAGTGGACTTATTTCCTGTGAACCTATTTCCTTACCTACGATACATGATTGTAAACATGATTGGGAGGTTTCAAAATGTTGCCCAGACACTGGATTGTCTGTTTATAGTGGTTTTATTTGATTAAACACAACTTTGAGGACAAACATACCTAAGGTAAGGTAGAAAAAGTGAGGTTTGTTCTTGATGGTTTTTGGCCTCTAGTTTGGTGAATTTTGATCACAGTAGTGATTATAGTTTGGACTGTTGGAATCAGTGGAGCTTACATATGATATACAGTTTGTGTAGATTGCTGTGCATGCACATATAACTCTTGTTGTCGCATGCTTATTGTTATGTTTGGGGTTGGAATTGTGTTGAGAATCTAATCGTGCTAGGGGTGACATGACTGCTTTCTCACATGTTTAATAAATGCCCTACGACGTCTTTGCTCTTGGGGGGGGTTAGCCCAGGTTAACGTTTCTCTACCTTGCTGTGTGTGTCCGTAGCCTGGCCTGCGGTGCGGTTGAGATGAAGAACCCATGCTCACACGAGAGCCGCCGGCTGGCCCTGCTGCTGGACGACGCGCTGCTCATGGAGGCGCGTCACTGGAAAGTCCCGCTCCTCAAAGGCGAATGCATCCAGGTGATGAAGAAGCGCCTTAATGCCATACGTGTCTTCAGTGACATGAAAACTTCCCTTTGGGGGTTCAACAAATCACCAATCCCTTGCACGTTGCACTGTCCAATTTTGGTAGTGTTCCATCAATACAGACAGACAGACAGATGGACAGGCAAGGCTGAATACAAGTATGCAACATCTGGTTGAAGTCCAAACACACCAAGGTTTTTTTTGTTTTGTTTGTCAGAACATCATCGTGATCCTATGGGTGCTAGCTCCAGTGACGAGAGGCATGTGTTGACCGGTCGTTGTTCTTTCTTCCTCTTGGCGCCAACCCCACAGGGTACAGACATCAGCCTTTCTGAACACTGTGATGTGGTGCTGTGGCTGGGAGACATGGGCCGACTGTTCCACTTCCTCCCCGAGACCTTCGCTCTGGGCGTGTGTGTCCTCAACCGCCTCCTGTCCACAGTGAAGGTAGGTAGCTGTGCCATATGATGCTCAAAATATGTACGTGTAGGCCTGTACATCTCATTATTCTATATCTCACATTTTATTGCTTGGTCAATTACGACATTCTATGGTCTGTTCTGTATAGCAGACTGTTGCTATGGATGCTATTTCCAAACCTAGAATCTAACGGGACTATTTGTTTTTCTTTGCAGATGCAATAAAATTATTTTTAAATCAATACAATTTTTTTGTTTTGGTCAAATTATTGATTTCTTTAGTAAGTAGCCATGTGGCTATGTACAGTGGGATAATGTACAGTGAGCCGGTCATTCTTGTGAAATAAACCCCTTCAGGGTGAATCAAGATTCCTGCATCACCCTGTCATAGTTTATTTCTCAATAATGACCAGCTCGCTGTACATTATCCCTTACTTAACATGTTGGGCTACTAGTCATTTTGAGTACTTTTATCCAAAGCGACTGACGGTGAATTTGAATACATATATATTTTAAGCTTCAGATATACGGGTTAGGGTGTCTTGCTCAAACATGCCTATATATAGACTATGGACACTGGGGTTCGAACCCAGAACCTTTTGGTGCTGGCAGTTAAGCACCCTAACCAACTAGACTATCCTGCCTATACTACTGTTTCCTCCCCTGTTTTAGGCTCAGCCCAAGTACCTAAAGTGCATTGCCTTCACCTCACTGATCCTGGCGGCTAAAATCAATGAGGAGGACGAGGTGAGCTATTATTCATTTTTATTTAATGTTGCAGGGATTCAGACACATAGCCTTATAGTCTGATGGGTATATGCTTCCATTGGAATACAGACACACTTGTAACTGCTCAGTTAGTTACTAAATCACGGCATGGATAATGCCATGCCATAATGGATTGCACAGCTACTCTGGCTGAAGTTTAGCAATTTTTCTCAAGTTCTTTCCACTGATTAGCTACTTCTAACTAATCAATCTCGCCAACAAAACTTTTTAAAATTACTACTATTACTACTACTACTAGGGATGGGAATCGATAAGATTTTTCCGATTCCATTTTCGATTCCGCTTAACGATTCGGTTCTTTATCGATTCTCATTTGGAAAAAAAGGATTCAGTGACGTTCGTCCAGAGCGCATCGAAAACGCGACATTCAGAAATCGTTATCGCATGCTGTGTGCGCAAATGTTTTTGCATGTTGGAAGTATTTCCTCCCTTTGAGGAAATATCCACGTTGCAAGTATTGCAAGTTGCCCTGTTGTCGTCTTTTCTTGTGAAGTGTAACCAAACTTTGGAGCGTTTGTACCGCTTGGGCGGCATGTTTACTGTTGACTGCTGGCTGCACTGGAGTCACTGGAGTTCTCAACAAGAACCGGTTTTCGATTCCCATCCCTAACTACTACTAAGAAACGCAGTCCATTGCTGTTTAGCAAGACTTTCGAAAGTTGGCACCAATTTTTGACAGTCACAAAAGACGACAGTTATTTAAAAAAAAAGGGTTTTTATTGATGTTTCTTGTCTTATCTTTGACTGTTGTAACAGGTGATAGGCTCCGTTAAGGATCTGGTGGTGCGCAGCGGCTGCCATTTTTCCACCGCCGAGATTCTTCGCATGGAGCGGATAATTCTAGACAAGCTACACTGGGATCTGTACACAGCAACACCGGTGGATTTCATTCACATAGTAAGTCAGGATATTGACACGCAAGACTCAACTAAACACAAAGGCCAATCGTATCTTTATCTCTTTTTTTTTTACGTCAACTTGATTGGTCAAAGAATGCTTTTTAGTGTTTTGCTTGACGGTCACATGAGGATTGCTACAGTTAGTGCCAGAAAGAAACAAATAATAAACACTTGCCATCAGAGTAAACCATATTAAAACAATATAAACTTTTAAAAATGGATGATTTAACAGAAATACCGGCAGGTCCCCAGAGACAGCAAAAACACATGATATTGTATTCACCAGAAATACTTGAACAAAACAAAAGTACTGCGGAGAAAGTGGTATGTGGTGCAACAGATGGGGTCCTCCTGTTAAGTACAAGCTCTGAGTACGTAAGTAAGTAAGTTGAGGAGAGACCCGACAGCCATGTTGCACACAACAAAAATACAAATATGAACTTGGTGCATTACAAATCGTCAAAATACAATTGTAGTGATTTTTCATAAATTGAAATCGATAGTTTGGGAGAGTATGGGAGCACCCCTACCAACGTGCACTTGTTACGTCAAATGGAACATAGAATACGTTACAAGGTTTCTGTCTAAATAAATATAACATGAAAACTTTATATTTCAGGCACTTTTCTGACAAACTCGAAGCCCTAGCACTACAGTTGGAATGATGCACTTTTGTGATCAGTACATGATAAAAACAAAAGGCCCTATTTTTCTGTGTCCCAACCTAGAGTATCCCAGTCACAGAAACTAAAGCTAGCCGGGATGGTTTATTTGTGTTTTTTTTACTACATTGTTTGCTACCATTCACATTTAATCTTGTTCCCAAGCTCCATGTCCAGTTATTAGTTAAGTTTATGGCACCTCAGTTTTACAAAATGTGAAACTGTTAAACAAATAATTTTCCCATAAAAAAGACCAGGAATGACTAGTCTTCTATACCCCGTCTTCCTCCTCTCGTTTTGCTAGAGGCAATATTCAAATCTGAGCCTGTGCAAGTATTTATCTTTAGGTTTGGATATTCAAAAGCATATTTAATTTTGTTAACACTTTGGAGGGGGAAAGTGTTTTGATAGCTCTCTATAAACAGAAATCCTACAGCTAAACAAAGCAGTTTCCTACACATCGTGTTACCAATGCAGACAGAGTTTCACATGCATGTCTGGATCCAGTGCTCTAAAACATGGATAGTTCAAATATTAAAAAGAAGTAGACCCTGTAAGCATCTTCCCTGTGAGTTATATTTTACATTTGTTTTGTTTTATCTTATTATCATCTGTGTTTGACGGGTACACGTTTCCATTTTCTCACGTTGACAAACTCCACTATTCCGTTTTGTGAAACTACTCATTTGTACGGAGCCCCTCTGGTGACATAGGTGGGGGAAAAAAATATTCCGTGGCCACGAATTAATAACGCGTGGGAACGAGATCCTAATCCGTGGCCACGACTTGTTTAATGCGTGGGAACGAGATCCTATTCCGTGGCCACGACTTGTTTAATTAATAATAACACGTGGCCACAAGAAATGTTAGTCATATCATCAGTGAGACTGTTGACTTTCTGGCATCAGTAGCTTCAGCCGACATGGACAAGTTTGATCTGATTTCGTTTTTTTTTAATCTAGGGATGAATTATTGTGATATCCTTCAGTCACTTGCGGTTAGACATGGAGTAATTGTGAGCAAGAGACTCACGCGTGGCCACTCTTGTGGCCACGCATTATTCATTTGTGGCCACCTAATAATCATCTCGTTCCCACGCATTAAACAAGTCGTGGCCACGGAATAGGATCTCGTTCCCACGCGTTATTAATTCGTGGCCACGGAAATTTTTTTTTTCCACCTATGTCACCAGAGGGGCTCCGTACATTTGCATACCAATTACAGAATAATTTGTTGGAACGAGTTTACCTGGTTACAGGCTTTCTTCCTCTAATTTATGTTTCTTCGCTGCAGGGGCAGAACGGTCGTGTGTGTGTGTGTGTGTGTGTGTGTGTGTGGGTGTGGGTGGGTGTAGGTGTGGGTGTGGGTGGCTGCCCATTTGTAGTCTAAACCACTAAAAAAGGTTATCTGACAACTTGCAAATGATGATTGGTGTGGTTCAGTATCATCTGCGATACTGGGAATGCATTGGCTGCGTTGTGGTTTCTGTAGGGTGTGTATGAAGTGTTCTGGTAAATGTGCTCTTAAATATACATTGAACTCATGGGTTCTCCAAGCATCTCACTATAGACCTTTACAAAACCCTCCATTCAAAGTAAATAAATATAATGCATTTCAAACTTCTAGTAAAATAAAGGTACATTTATCAGCATATTTATTTAAATAAATGCTTTCTGACCGTTGTAAATTCCATTGCCCCTGAAAAAAGTACTTCTTTGCATCACCATATCTAAATAAAGTCTTATCATATTTGCCATTGTCTTTAGAAACAGGAATCCATAAAATCTATCAATATTTGTCACTGACTCCACCGATACGAGAAATTAAGTGAATCACATAGTCGTTGTTCCATGCATTTCCCACTCACTATATGTAGTTACAGTATATCAATCTGAATTGTTTTAGAAGGGCAGGCTCAATGATGTGGAAACATTAAAGCGACCATCCTCAAAACGACTGGTCTGACACTTGACAACCTGAGACTGGCACGTAGACTAGGGTCACCTTAGACGATAGGTTTTTTTTATGTCACATTTGTTGAATCTTCCTTCCAAAGAATCCAGGTGAATTTGTTCAAATGTGGTGGTTTACGTTTTTGACAGGAAAAGCAATAGTGAATAAATGGGCAAAAAAACAAAAGTGCATATTAAATCGACCAAAACGTGTTGTTCCTTTCGCTACTTTTACCAGAGGTAAAAGTCTGCCAAGTCATTGGCATTGAGGAGTCTGCCAAGTCATTGTGGAAGACTATCTCTGTTGATAGTCTGATGTAGACTATTAGCCGGATTGTTGCCAAGGTTTTTGGACGGAATTAAAACAACCACAATACTAGGCTGCTTTTTCTGTCCAACCTCCACATGCATCTTCTTGAGCTAAGGAGGCTAATGAAAATGTAACGGTCCAACATATCCATTTAACATTTAGTTTGACTTGGGTGTCACTATTACATTTTAGCACACAATTAAAATCACTGCACGTACATCAAAGGAGTTAACACTTAGCCCTCTGCAAGGGTAGATGGGCAACTTTGAGGAGGGGCCATTCAAACAAGTATTACTTAATAGACATCTCATATCCACCGGTTAGAGTCTCCCCATACCCTTTACATTTAGACGTACTTAACACCAAGACAGACTTTTTTTTTAACAAGTTATGGTAAGCTATTGATCTGCATATAGACCAGCTCAACGTACAAACCAATCTTATTGTAGTTAATTCATGTGAATTGCCCATGCGAAAAAACACTTAAACGGCGGGAAACCTATTTAATGTTCGGTGCGAAAATGATTCTTGGTGGCTTGTCGAGCTATACTGTGTCCAGTCCACACGCCTGGCTGCCATGCATTGGTTCTCAGATCCGACCCGGGGTAGGACGGGCAGAAGGGCTGCGGAATAAGGGGCTACCGTGAGAAGTCGCAGCACAACTTTTCATTACTACGGCGTTCCGGCTCTATTGTGATTTTTAACGCGAAAGTGGCAAATGTAGAAGTCAAAGGAAGTTTTGTGGGTGACGGATGACAGGTCGCCGATGGGGATGTTGTGACCTCAAACACTTTGGTCTCTTTGTTTTCTCTGTCTATCGTGTATTAATTTTTCTCTCTCTCTTGCTCTACCTCTCACTTCAGTTCCACGCCCTGCTCGTCTCCGGACACCCCCGCCTCATCCCGTCCTCCGGCCGGGGCTTGGGTTTGGGCCGGGGCCCGGGGGGACATCAGAAGAGCCCCCCGGGCTTCCAGGTGGCGTTGTGGACCAGGCAGGTGCAGCACTGTATGGCATGCCACCAGCTGTGG